TCAGCATGCTTAATTGTTTCGTACTCTTTTGGTTTTTGGTCAAAAATGTATTGCAGATGTACCATTTTTACTTAAAGGTTTATCACTGCCTGAGCTTGATTTTGCAGATAGTGTTCGCTTGTTTGCAGGGGTACATCTAAGGTACATCTAAAAGTACTTGAAGTAAAGTACAACGTAAATTAGAGGTTGTGTACTTCAAGTAATGTAGTATTTCCATCGAATGCAATGTACATGAAGAAGTAAAGTACTATAAATACAATGTAATTTCAAAGTAAAGTACAAGTACTTTTTAACACAAACTTTCATGATGCCCTTTCATCCCCCATACAGTATTTTTAGAAGCAATCAAAGGTGCATCACTTTTTTGTTTTCGTTTTTTTTTTAATAGGCAGCGAATATTGGATAACGTCAAGTTACCACAGAGCAGTTGTTTTACTCTCGCTGAAGAACTATTTAACATAATGAACTTATCAGGCACTTTTTTTTGTATCGGTCTTTTAGCCGCCATTACTTCACCCAGAGAAGTGACCAGATGACAACTTGACAGAGAATAGCGTGTTTTCGCATGTCGATACGCCATGTTTTGTTTTTCACATTTGGAGAATGTATTTTGAAGTCGCACTTTACTCGGTAAAGTACCAGCAAAAATATTTTAGTTCCGTGCAACTTACAAGCACATGATCAGAGAATGTACTTCAAGTTTATTATTAATATTTTTTTTAAACGTGGGTGAATTACTAAGGTCTCTCGCACGATTTTGAAATCTTGGAAGAAATGCACATTTGAGTTTTGGGAAAAAAGGCAATGCAAAGAGGCCACCTTAGCGTTGCCCTTTAGCACGCGATTCTTCAAGGACAGCACAAACTACGGGAGCACCAGATGAGCTTCAGAGCGGGTGCTACATTTTGTTGCCTCCTTTGAGTGAGAATGCAGTGTGTGCACCTCCTGTAGCGGGCGAGAGTTTCTACGTTGAAGAGAAGCAGGGACAAGCCCTTTTTTCAAATGAGTCAAGTCTTCTTGAGCTTCGGGACAAAAAGACGCGAGTCTTCGGCTCTAAACTAGCATTTATTTGGCCTCACTTGTGAAGCATTTGTACGCTTTCTGCACCTCGAAGCAGGGTTGTTGCAATGGAAGCTCGTGAAATTTTTAGGGGGTTCCGGACCCTTCGAATTTCTCTCCCCCCCCCCCTTCCTGGCTACGCCACGTGCTTGCCCCTTTATGCAAATATCAGCTGATCGTCCAACAGTTAATTTCTTTTCTTTTTGCAGGAATGCTTGTTGGTAAGCGAGTTTACCACTAAAATTCGAAAGTCATTTTTAATTTGAGTAGAAGTTCCTCGGAAAAAGTAATTTAAGTAAACTAATAATTACAACAAAAATGTAACTGAGAGTTACTAAACTAATAAGAAAAGTAATTAAACTACAGTAACTTGAGTAGGGCAGTTGTACAAGTCTGCCCCAGACGTCTTCTACTCTTGATGTAGGCAAAGAAGCATATTCTTTATGTCCTTAGAAATTTTCATCCAGGTAGTCTAAAATCGCAACACCGGTGGCATTTGTAAAATTCAGTACTTTCCGTGTGTTGCAGGAAGCAGTTTTTGTTTTAAGAAGTCGCATGTTAAGATAACTTATGGTTCGAAAAGTTGTCTATCAGCTGGCATGAGTATGACGTTTCCACTAGGAAAAGTGAGGTTGAGTAACGACTCAGAGTAGTCGTGCATTCTTTTGCTGGTTTTGACAATTTGCGTCAAGTCATGAGAAAATGCCACATCTAAAGCGAACGAGGACGGGCACTATCGCTGGGAATTTCGCACAGATGGTTCCAATCAATATGCGGTAAGTAAGGGTCACCCGAAAAAATAAGTTTGTAGTTTTCCTTAACATGTAAGCAAAGGTAATCATTCAGCACAAAGAAATAGTTCGGATCTGACTCAGGGGGTTTGTGAAGGGCAACCATAATAACAGAACTCTCGCTTATCAAAATCGTAGCAGCGACACATTCTATATCGTCAACCACATGCATTTCCACACAGGCATATTCATCCTTAATTAAAATAGCAATACCCCTTCCCCTACTTCTTCGGTCCTTCCGATAAACTATATATCGTAGTGGAAGAAACTCTAAATTTATTTTTTCAGTAGTTAGCCAAGTTTCTGTCAAGATGAATATATCATGTTCGTGCTCCATGAGTACTGATTCAAGCTGAGTTTATTTATTAACAATGCTACGTGCATTCAAACTGAGCGAAACAAAGCTGTTAGGGGTCAAACACAGTATCGTGGCCTTGGCCGATCCATTGTCTCTCATTAGATTTTTCGTTCCAGAAAAATAGCTGGCAATTAAGTGATACGTTGCTGAATACTGGGCGCGCTTTGTCACCTTGTCTCATCAGCACTGTGGGCGCCAAGCCATGTATTCTAGGTAACGGAGCAGCAGACACTTTGGCTGTCTCTGTTAATGGTCGCCTAAAAGCATCTGGTGGCCTATCTTATGAAGATCTTAGACAAGTTATAAAAAATCATTTCGCGAACTTTTACAGTAAGAATGGGATAAAAAAACGACAATGAACTAGATAATATTAAACCATGTTTAGGACTTTAGGAAAGTACCTACTAGAGGAACCGTTACCACGCGGTTAATGTGTCGCTTGCATATTGGACACAAATGCTTAAGATATCTATACTTACGTTTTGATGACTATACCCAAGCTGGGGGCAATCTGGCATAACTTTGACTGTCCTGCATATTCTGTGGCGCTGTAGGTTCCTAGATAAAAAAACCACGAGCCTGTTTTACTAGCATTTTTGAAAACCATCTCCCATTCAATCCCTCATTCTTGCTTGGAGATGAACCTCTTGTGCCTTTCAGGAATATTTTGCAATTTTGTAAAATATCTGACTATATACACTTGTTATAACTCCTCCCTTTCTGCCATGTTTTCAACCATCCTAGATAATTACGTAAAATTCATGTTCATATGTTTTACACGATCTATGTTTATACTTTTATTGAATCACGAGCTAAAATAGCTCTGTCTTCTTGTTAATCTTTTTCCTGCAATAGTTTATGCACGTGGCACATTTCGGCTTAGTTGCTCGAACACCATAAATCTAGACTCAATCAATCAGCTTACACGCTGCCTCTCGTGCGCGATAGTCGGTGTCTCGCACCGTTTGCTGTGCTCGTGCCACTGCACTTCTCCTCCCACCCTGATCAGTGCAGTGCGCTTGCCATTCCTGCTCCAAGGGTGGACAGCCAATCTTGTACTGTCAGGTCATGTCAGGAAAAGGCGGGGGAGAGAGAGAACTGACAATGCGCCGCCCAGGGTCGCGCCTTTTTTTTTTTAGACGCGCGCAGGACTTCCAGAACCCCGCAGCGACGGCGGCGATGATGGGACGGGAAGACCGTCTCACCATTGAAAGCTGTACGAGGAGAGAAGGTGATGGGGAAAGAGGGTTAGCACGGAGAAGCTATCTTTCTTTTCTCCGCAATCTCGTGGTTTTTCGCGTAGATATCGTGGGATAGGGGCCCTAACATCTACTGCCGTAAACTATAGTCTGGAAGAAAATGCCGGCTTGGGAGCTGCACGCCCTGTTTTTTTCGTTCACAGCATTCCTCGTAGAGAGCTTTGTCTGAACAGCAGCGGAGAGAAATGGTCGAAGCCTGCGAGGTCAAGTGAATGGGTGGATTGGAACGGTTGCCCTAGCGCGTAAAAGCATTGCATTGTCGTTTTTTTTCTCTTTCAACATGTGATTGTTTTGACGGTGCCACGCTACTTGCCTCCACCCCCGCCCTTTCTTCTACCCCTTCCAAACAGAAGCAAAATTTAGGGCTGAATTTGGAGGCACGCCACCTAAATGTTTGAGTCCTTGTGTCAATCGAATATCGTTTGACTGAGAACCTTGAAGGTGAGAACGTGTTTCATCGATACTCTTGGTGGAGTGCAAAGGTCGCTCTCCACCCTACCTCAACACGAATCTAGCTATCATTCAAACGCGTTCTTTTTAATCCAACATTTGCAGGAAGTAACTCACGCGTAACTTTCCGATCCTTTGAATTTTACCGTTCTTTCTCATTTATTTAACTTCAACTCATTTCTTTAAGTTAATTTATTTTGTGACTGTTTTATTTTTCGTTTTTGCTATTACTGGTTTAGTTTGAAATATGTATTTTCAAATACATAACTGCAAAAGTGTAACGACGCCCTCTTGTTTCATTTTCCCTGGCGTGATTAACCCTTGTGTAGTTCTATATGATCTATCATAGTCTGCTTTGCCTACACTAATGCGCACGTCAGGGCATGTGTACTTAAAAGGATTAAGGCAAAACATGTGTAACGTGAACCACGGTGGCAATATAAGTTTTTTTTTTTTGTGGAATTCTTGGTATTATATTGCTACTAATAACAGTTCAGTCCCCGCAGAGGGTTGTTTGTTTTTGAGAAGTGGCAACCCTGCAAAACATTAAAATTTTTTTAGATGTATTTCAGAAGAAAGAGTAGTGTCGCGAGGCGCTGTCGATTTCTTAAGAAAGAAAACTTTCACATCCGATTGTAATTTTGGGTTTTCTGCGATGACATCACAGTCATCACAGTTTGTGATGACTGTGATGACATAGCTGATCTGCGCAAATCTTTTGCAGTCTTCGTAAAGGTTATTCTCTACGCAGATTGCAACAGAAAGAGACGCCCACCTTCCGGAAAATCCTTCTTACGTTGTAAGTTCTCTCACAGGGCACTGAACTGCCTTTTTGTTTTGTAGGAAGCGTAAGCAATTGGAATTTCTATTTTAGTGATGAAAAAACAATAAAAAAAGCACCAGCCAAAAGGTCATTTCAGTAAGTTTCGTCCTGAAAGGACAATGAACTCGTTGGTGATGCAATAATACCCACCTTGCTCAGGTGTTAATAAAGGTAAGCTTTCATTAAGCTGTTTGAGACTTTCGAGGTACGCAAGACGAAGTTCATAGCACTGCATAAACATCGCATCGAAGCTTTGAGACATGAAACTGCTCATGTGGATATTTTGCCATATTCTTTTTGTGAGTCACGGCGAGGGAGAAGGTAAGTGGCTACAAAAAAATGTCGGGATTCGTTTTTTTATCCCTTACATATCAGTATCGCCCAGTGAAAATCTTAGTAGGGGTGCGTAAAAAATTACACAATAGGAAACATAAGAAAACTACAGTAAATAACGTGTTAAACGAAAGATGAACCGCTGGACGCCAATTAGTAACATGGTTTCATCAGAAATACGAAGAACGGGCGGAAGCTATATCAACCAATCGGACCGCAGATTACTTTAGTGAGTACGTCTGGAGAAAAATGACCATTTATTTACGTCATTCTGGGCAGAAAATCCTAAGGCATTTTTATTATTACAGGACTACGAAAGGCAAAGAGCCTGGTTGCCAGCGGGTGAGCGGGCGGGCATACTTTCTTAGCAGAATAGATTACAAGTTACTTGATATTAAAAAAAAAGAAGAAAAACTGGAAAAACCAGCACGTTAATTACCCACGACCGAACGTAACTCGATGAGCAGAACTCCAGAGTTAATGTTTCACATACGTGTACCATACTTGTTTAGCCCCGGCTTTACTGTTCGGGACGCAAGCCGATCAAAATGGTCCTTTTTCTTGATTCTTCAGTTCAACGGTGCGTTTTACCAAGTGTTTGGAAAAAAAGAGAATTTAGTTATTATCTGTATGCAAAAATAAAAAGCGCTTTCTCGAACGCTGAAGTATCTACCTATATTTAATGTTGACGGTGGGGAGCCTGCAGATACCAAAGTTGGAGAACGTATCGTTATTTATATAAAAGAATCAGTAATTTTGGGAAAGCATTTTCTTAATTGAACCCTTTACAAGTAGCGGATATTATTCGTCTTTATATGTTCACCGCCTCCAACGGCCGCCAGTTTGTTGTTGAAAATTTCTGAAAATTGCTTATGTCGTTTGAATCGTATCGTAGGAGATGTGTTTCTATAAATAAGCACAAAACAATCTGAAGCCTAATTTTGATTATAACTGAGCTGCAGATTTCCCAGTGTTTATTTATGAAGCCAATCTGCGGATGTTACATCATGGTTCTTTTTTTTTAAATATCGGTGTATTCTGCGACTTATTTCGTGAGCATGCTAAAAACGATGATTACCTGTACAAATAACGATAGACACAAAACAGCTCATAAAAATGCAAAGTTAATATTTTATTTAAAAATTTCACACACCATTTAAACCTTTAGACACAACCCAAAAACGATAGACAACGACACCGAACACTGGTCAAAGTGCTGGTGCTCTTTGAAGTATAATCACCCGGAGCTTCTGGTTTCCAACTTCTAGTTTCCTTCTTATACTGCCTCTTTCTGCAAAAAGAAATCGAAGCCTTCGAAGTAAAGTGTTTCCGGCACTTAGAAGGCCAGTCGCTCTTACTTTTTTGGCAAGGTACAACTGATATCGACGCCCAGTGTAGTTTCTAACCTGTATTGCTAACTCTAAAATCAAATTTCCGCTTCTCAGACGCCCAAAAAAAGCCAGTTTTGGAGAGAAAATAGCTCGATTTTTTGGTAAAAAAAAAAAAAAGTTAATTTAAAAATATTGCATGGATTGTTTGGGGCAAAACACTGGTGCCAAGTCAATATATTTTGCAACTACATATGTAGAATAATTTTATGTTCGTGGTGAAGGAAACCACCCTTGAAAAGTTACTTTTTCTTTACATGGCGAGCAAATTATAGGAGAGGCAAGGTGAAGAACGATAGTTTAGGATACGTGGCCATGTGCGCAGTTCTGTTCCGGTACAATACTAAATATTCATATATTTCGTAACTCGGGTATAAACAATTATAACGCTTTTTGGGCGAATAAAAGACACAGTGTTTATACAATATATTGACCGGAAAAATCGTACGCTGTCCCACGCGCCTTATATAAACGAGACAACAGAACTGCGATAAATGATCGCGCTCCCCATTTTTATCTTGTCTCCCTCACTTATCAGTTTTGACACAAACGAAATCTAATTGTATTTTTTATAAACATAAAATTATGTAATTACACACTGTCACATTGAGAAACTTGAAGTAAATCATTCCACCCCTCTTTCGCAACTAAAAAATAAACGTCATGGCTTTCACATCGTTTCGGTTTCACTCTTGGATGCATGCGTTGTTTTCACATATATAAAGGGCTATGGAATACAAAAAATACATACGACATCCCTTATCATTCTATTTGTCCTCATGTATGGTCAAGACGGCATGGACATTTTAGCTGGACTGAGCGTTTTCAAAATCCATGAAATACGCCTGTACGTGCTCTTACTCTATGGAACAGATAATTTTATTCCCTGAGCTTGGTCATTTACTCAAATACTCAAAAAAGCCTCGCTTAATTAAATTAACTTTAATTGATATATAATCAATAGTGTAGTGGTTATAGCTCGTCGCCAAGATGTTGTGGTCGCTTGGGGCCATTACGAATGGGTGGAAAGAGACAGGGAAAGCTAAGATAAAGACAGCGCCCCGAAAGGCCTGTAGAGATGCTGGAAAGGCTTACATTGCCGGCGCGTGGGCAGCGGGGTGCCGAGGTGCGGGGCCCAAGGCGGGAACCCCGACGAAAGGAAGAGACGTCACACCAGCTCGGAGTTTTTGTGAAGACTGTCCTTATTTTCAATATCTACATCAATCAGCGCGTGCCGCTGTCAAGCACGCGGCGCGCGGCACCGTCTCAAATTGAGCTGAAAACGCCATCTAGATTATTTACAGCACACTACATCTTCTCCTCCCTTAATAGAAAAATAATTGTTGGATAATTTATTAGGGAAGAGAAGGAAACAGCTTACTCCTTAAAGAAAATACAAAGTTCAGGCACACACAAAATTCTTACCAACCAATCACTACTAGCAAAAATAATTGTGAAGTGGTCGGAGAAAATAAGGATAAAGAAATACATTGGAAAGATACAATCATAAATGATACACTTTGTACTATGTCGAGCACTTTTCAGTCAGACTGAAAAGTGCTCTCTTCACTGCAACGAAAAAAGTCACTGGCGAGTCCTTTGAAACACGAATAACACTTTCACCTCTGCGAGTGAAATGAATGACTAGACTTTAGAAACGTAACAAATAACACTTTCAAAAAGCTCACGGTTTGACCTGTCATTTGAAACGAAGATTAACACTTTGACCATAACCTCTATGTACATAACATGGAAACATGAAAATATACCTAAGGCAGTTCATCCAAAATTTCCATGTCCATGACATGAAAATTTCTACATTTGAACACATGAAAATGTGAAAATGAAAAAAACAATGCAAGCATAACTATCTGTTCACATCTATCCCATAAAAATACAGTGCACACTATGAAATTGCAAACCACTATGACTTAAGTCCCAGAGTTTTTAAGGAGCGTCTTTGGAGTACATATCCACTTGAAAGTCACGAAATTTTGCGGGAAGTCGTCTACGCCGCGTGGGGCGTTGTGGTGGAGTGTCCGATGGGGATTGTGGTGGAGTATGATATGTCCTTGGTGGTGTGTCTGCACCACCGTCACCTGATGTAGAAGTCGATTCTGGGGTTGCCTCGGGACTTGAATCCAGGTCTTCTGCTAAACCAGGAGCCACTGAAGGCTCGGAAAGCATGGAGGTCTTTGGCCCAACGGAGTGCAGGGACTCCGCTGAGACCGTTGCGGAGCTAGATGACGGCAGCTCGCTCCAATACCCGAGTCCCAGTTGAGATGAACTTGATGCGGTGCTCAATATTGCACCGCTTGTAGGAACGGAAGGTTCAGGACCCTCTTGGAGCCTGGAGGCCTCTTGGAAGACTGCAGCCGGAGCAGCCGGCGGGACTGGTGGCTGGCTGCTGGCTTGGACTGGTACAGCAGCGCGGAAGGCCGCTTGGAGACCGGAATCAGGAACGGCACCGGGGACTGCGGTGGCGGGAAGGCCACCGAAAACCACCGCATCTTGCACGGTACAGGGTACCACGGAACTGGTGCCGGGTACACCAGGGACAGGAAGGGCACCGGGTACTACCGGTACATGGGCAGCACCAGGGACCACAGCTACATGGGCTGCAGGAGCCGTATGATGAGGAACGACGCCTGGCACAGCAGGATCATGGGCAGCGCCAGGGGTCGCTTGACTATAGGCACCAGGCACCACAGCAATATGGCCAGGGCCGGGCGCCGCAGTAGCATAGGCGGCCACAGGGGCCGCAGTGACATGGACGACCTCTTGGGCCGTCGGGACAGGACCGGCCGCAGGGGCCGCAAAAACAGGACCGGCCGCAGGGGCAGGAACGGCAGCAGGGGCCGCATGGACAGGAACGGCAGCAGGGGCCGCAAAAGCAGGAACGGCAGCAGGGGCCGCAAAAACAGGAACGGCAGCAGGGGCCGCAAAAACAGGAACGGAAACAGGGGCCGCAAAAGCAGGAACGGCAACAGGGGCCGCCCGGACAGGAGTGACGCTGGGGGCCGCAGCACGCAAAGTTGCAGGTGCCGGACCCTCAGGTGGCACATGGCCCAGGCTGATAGCTGGAGCCGCATTAGTTGAAGTAGGTAATATGTCATCATCCATAAGCCACCACGGCTGACGTTGGGGTGGTTTCAATGTTGCACGTGTCATTTTGTCTGCATTCCATATGGTTCCATCATCTAATCTATATGTGGCTGGCCCAACTTGTTCATGTATATGTTGCGGTGGAGCATATTTGTTGCGCATTTTCCCTCTAATGTTAGGTTTGAAAACCTTTACTGCTTGCCCAGGAGCAAAAACAGGGTGCTTGACTGCTCGCCGGGCATCTGAATACTGTTTCATCTTCGTTTGATATGCCTTGACTCTATCAGGAAGCTCTTCCTGAACGACCTGCGGAGGGACGGCGGACTCTGGGGTCCCTCGCCCTTGAAGATGCAGTCGCGTCCGGTGGGTGCGACCGTGTAAAAGAAAAGCTGGCGTTTCTCCAGTCGCGGCATGGCGCGTACTCCGGTATACCCCGAGATATTCTGTAATGGCTTCGGAAAGCGGACGATGTTGGACGAGAGCCAACTGAATAAC